AGTGCAAGATGTTTCAAAAAGTAGATATATTCGAACGTTAATTACAAGAATTATTAATAGCCATTTATTAGTCAATCACGAACTTTACATCGACGACGAATGCTCGTTACGAATGCGAGCATATATTACGACGAGGGGTGAGTTTTTCTCGATATGCGTATCGACGTTTATGAAAGTTAACGTTGAGTTACTGTCGTGCGTTACAGCGTAACGCGATAGGTACCGAGCGAATAATGAGACGCGAAGCGGATCAGCCTAATTAAGGGGCAAGAAGCCCGGCGGATAATTTATTTATCCAGTCGGGGCGTGCGCGGGCACACAATTACACGCGGAAATGTCCATCACGGTGTATTCTCGAGAAAGAAAAAAGGGGGAGCGCAGTCCTATACGTACCTGTTGATTTTTTGTACCGTTGATTCGTAATACTCTTCAGCTTCCGAGCGGCATTCGATTTTCTCGAGGATCTCCCTCGTGTCTTCGGAATTAGCCTCGTAGCGTTTTCCGTTCACCTCGGTCTACCCTTAATGTTCCTCGGCGTTGGTCTCGACTCAATTCGCCGACATCACGAGTTCGATGTCACGTTTTGCCGCACCTCGAGTCCTGGCAAAACGTCGTCGTCCTGTCGTGCGTCGCGCGCTTGACTCACGCAGGAAGTGACTTCGCTTTCACGGCAATAAGACGTGGATGCGACACGAAAGCCGGAAAGACGGATAGAGAGACAGAGAAAAGGAGCGAAAGAGGAAGCGAGAAAGAAGCGGACTGTATAATGGTACACCTACGAGGACAGGTCGTCAGATGACGACAGGAAGGTTTCTCTCAACGACCACCTTTCCCGTGCGAACCGATGATCCGCTCTTTATCTCGGAACTTCCTTCCGTGCGTCCGTTCCCTATTTTTATTCCGCTCCGATAACCGCGCAACGTGCGGTCGGCTGTCCTTGATGGAATCGCGAGGTGGATGTTCTTCCTTTGCTCGGGGAGCGCGCGCGTTTCTTGGCTCCTTTAAAGGTCCGATCAATCAGCAAGATCACGGCTTAATCATCCCGTCAGCAGGATCGCACTCGTAATTGGTCGCACAGAAGCAATATCCCGCGACAAGTCTGATCGGTCGATCTTCTTTCGGGCCAAATGTCCTCGCGGAGGGATCTTTTTAATGATATCCCGCGTCGCTGGATTCACTTCCACTTACTCGGGCTCACTGGTAACCACGCGTTCAACTTCCGATTCCTCCGGGAAAAGCCGCCACTGTCGGAAGTCGCAATGCCACGATTTCTCGATCGCTTCTTCCTCTTCTCGGCAGGCCGGCGCTCATCACCTCGTACCCGTGGCGCAAAGCACGTGCAGCTACTCCTGGTAGCCGGCGGAGTGGCACGGCCGCGCGACGCGAGGGCAAACTCGCGGTGAAGACCGCAAACTGCGGTCGCGGCCGCTCGGCGAGCGCGCTCGAGGAGAAGGACGAGGCGGAGGCAGGAGGGACCACGCGGCACAAGCACAGGTACCAACGAGCAGAACGCGGCAAGGGCGCGAGAACGCGGCCAGAGATATACGCG